TTTTTTTTTTTTTTGGTACTGGGGATCAAAGTCGGGTCCTTGTGCTTGCGAGGCAGGCGGCAGAACCACTGAGCTAAATCCCTGGCCCCTGTATTCTTTCTTATGACGTGATGAATGGATTTTTTTTCTTAATTTCATTTTTGGATTTTCCATTGCTAGTATATGGAAATGCAGTTGATGCTGTATATTGGCCTTGTCTCCTGTGACTTTATGGAATTAATTTCTTTCTAATCACTTTGATGGAATTCTTTATATAAAAAAGAAAAAAATACACATTCTTATGTATGTCCAAATATTTTTCTGGGACTTTTCTTGCCTTTTTTAATTTAAAGCGTTTCCATTTTTGTTTCTCACATTTGACAACATTTTCTTTGATGAGTGTGTTCCTTTCTTTCATTCTATCCTAGGTATTTAAATGATTTCTATGAGTTGGAGCTCCAGCATGGTTCTGGTGTTGTGGGTTGGAGCATCCCGGTCACTAAGGGGCTTGTGCCTTCACCGAGAGAATCCCACACCGCCGTGATATACTGCAGAAAAGACTCCAGAAGCCCTAGGATGTATGTTTTTGGCGGAATGTGTGGTGCTCGCCTGGATGACCTGTGGCAGCTTGACCTCGGTAAGCTGAACTTGCTTTGGCTCGGGTCAGTTATGATTCGTAAGGGCAGATGGCATTGCCAGTGCTCCTGATTGCAGTTCCTGTCGAGTTACTGTGTCTCTGGCTGCGTTCCCCCTCGTCTCCGGGACATCGAGCTCTGGTCAGCTGAACCCACGCATGTGCACCTGTGACCCTTGACGCGTGAGCGGGTCACTCCCGGCCCGGTTTGCCTGGCCAGCCCTGTGCTCTGCTCATCGTCCTGCATGGTGATCGGCATCATCCAGTGTGGATGTCCTGCTGGTGGGAGATGTGGCCTCATCAGGGAAACCCTTTGGTAGCTGCAAGAAGGGATGCTTGGAGGGAAGGTGTGTCTGTGCTCGGCTGTCTTTTCTACTTAGGACGTTAAAATGACGAATGTTGGGCTGGGGATTTAGCTCAGTGTTCCACCGCCTGCTTCGCAAGCGCAAGGACCCGAATCGGGCGCCTGAGCGCACCTCCCTCCCAGGTGCTAGCATTGTAGTGAACGGGGTTCTGCCTGGCGGTGTTTAAGACAAAATTCAGATAACTTTTGAGACATTTTCGATTCATGTTTGTAAGTGCTTATATTTTTTAAAGTATGCAAGCTGAGGTAATTCACTATTATCAGATGCAGATGCTAATATGCTTATTTTTACTTTCAGAAACTATGTCCTGGTCAAAACCAGAAACAAAGGGGACAGCGCCACTCCCGCGAAGCCTTCACACAGCCAGTGTTATAGGAAACAAGTATGGCATGTTTTTGTTTTTTGCTTTTGATTTTAAAAAAAACAGCTAAGAAAGAGGCACACAAAAGTGATGCTGCTAGTTTCCTGGAAGTAGGTTATTGAACTTAGCATTTGATTTTGCTTGCGGAAGCTAAAACAATTTGTCAGTGGAAGCTGCAGTACCTGTGCGCCACTTGTCACCATGGTCTTCCCTACCTCCGGCTCCCCTCAGGCCCTGCCCAGAATCGGCATCGTCCAGCTGCTCTGTCTCTCTCGGCGGGCAGTCTCTGTTGCTCTGCCCTGGGTACGGCGTGGGTGGCCTCGGGCACACATTCTCAGGGACTATGGATGACAAGGTGCAGTTAGGGTTCGAGTGCAGACCCCGTAGCTAAATTCCTTATCCAAGCCAGCTTTGGTACTTGCCTTGCATAACCTGGAGCACAGAAATTTAATCCACCCGTGTGTACCTGTTTCCTTAAGCACATGGTGGGGATTAAAGCAAAATCTGTCTCACTAGGGTGTAACCACATTGGATTAATACATAAAAAGTAAGCTGGTATGTTGGCGCGCACCTGTAATCCCAGCACTCGGGAGGCTGAGGCAGGAGGATCGCCATGAGTTCAAGACCAGCCTGGGCTACATAGTGAGTTCCAGATCAGTCTCAACTACATAGTGAGACCCTGTCTCAAAACAAAAAACAAAAAAAACCAAAAAATTACATAGAAAGTGCTCAGAACCGCGCTTGGCGCTTTCAGAGCAGTCATAAAGGTTAGCACCTGTGACATCAGCACCTCTCCTTGTTTGTGCAGCACCGAGTAGAACTTAGTCAAGTATTTATTAGTATAGGGACCGTAGGGATGTTTCAGGCTGGTGTGGTGGTGCAGGCCTATAGTCCCAGCACCCAGAAGGGTCACCTCGTGTTTGAGGCCAGCCTGGGCTCCATAGCAAGACCCTGTCTCGGAAAGCGAAACAAGCCCGCTCTGCAGTTGCTGCTGCCCCTGTGGTTGTTCGCTGTCACCCGTGGTCCACTCCTCCATGCTCTTCGACATCACCGCCGACGGTGAGCCCTTGGCCGCGTCTCCTTCAAGCTGTCTGCAGACGAAGTTCCAAAGACAGCAGAAGACTGGTGCTCTGCGCACTGGAGAGAAAGGATTTGGTGATAAGGGTGCTGCTTTCACAGAATTATTCCCGGATCTGTGTGTCAGGGTGGTGACTCCGCACGCCACACTGGCACCATCTCCGGGCAGAAATTCGATGATGAGAACTTCATCCTGAAGCGCACCGGTCCTGGCGTCTCGTCCATGGCGAACGCTGGGCCAGACAAACGGCTCCAGGTGTTTCATCTGCACGGCCAGACTGCGTGGGTGGGTGGGTGGCGCACATGTGTCTGGGAAGGCGAACGAGGGAGTGAACATCGTGGAGGCCGCGGAGAGCTTCGGGTCCAGGAATGGCCAGACCAGCAAGAGGGTCACCACCCTGACTGGCCGCTCTGACGCCTTTGCCTTGTGTGTATCGCAGCCGCCAGACCACTCCTCTGGCCCAGGGAGCACCCTCTGCCCTCTGCTCGCAGTGTCCGGTCGGCTCTGCTCTCAGTGCAGCTCTTCGGGTTCCATATTTCCCCTGCTCCCCTCCCAGCGTAGCTGGATTGCAGAGCTAAGTTTATGGTTACGAATAAAAACTAAATAAAGGTTGCTCATTTAAAAAAAAAAAAGCAAAACAGAAAAAGTAATGTTTCGGGAAACTGCAGGTTATAATTTAGAACTTCACTAATGCGTTTTAAAAAATAGTTCAGAAGCTGGGGATTTAGCTCAGTGGTTCTGCTGCCTACCTGGCAAGCGCAAGGTCTCAAGTTCAGTTCCCAGCTAAAAAAAAATGTTCAGAAACCCATCCGAATAGTCTTTACCCTTAAATCGTACAAACACGTTTTAAAACAGTAGGGTCCTCTGTAACACACAGCTTCTGCACTGGGGCCCTAGGGTCTGAAACAGTCGGGAAGCAGGGCCCCTCCGGCGGGCACGCGGTCTGCTGGCCTGGGCCTGGCCCCTGAGTCCGTCGTCTTCAGCCGCCATTGGAGCATCCAGGACTCAGAGGGACACAGTCGGCCGTTTCCTTTGTTCATATTTGAGCCAGGCTTCCTGTGTTGCCTAGGCCAGCCTCCAACCCTTGGGCTCAGATGTCCTCTGGCCTTGGCTTGTAGACTATGCTTCGAAAAGTGTCAGTGGCCAGAGTCCCACAAAATGTAATCCTCTTTGGTTACTACAAGTGTACAGTGACTGTGGGTGTTGTAGATCACTGAGTGTCTTTCAGGCTGAGGGGCCCTTACTGCATTACACTCAGTGTTGATTCTCGAATGTATTACACGCCTGTAATCCCAGCACTCGGGAGGCTGAGGCAGGAGGATCGCTGTGAGTTCGAGACCAGCCTAGGCTACATAGTGAGTTCCAGGTCAGTCTCGACTACACAGTGAGACCCTGTCTCAAAAAACAAACAAACAATCAAAAAACAAATGTATTGCAGTTGAAAGACGCTTACCAGAGAGAAATCATTTTGAGTCAGTGTTGCTTCAGAAAATGGTAAAGTCTTTTTTTTTCTTTTTGACGTGGGATCTCCCTGAACCGTCCAGGCTGCCATGAATTCCCAGGTTCAGCTGATCCCCCACCTCAGCCTCATGGCTAGATCTATGGGTTGACACCACTGCCTGGCTTAGAATTGTAAACTCTAGAAAGAGCATCACTTTATTCATTTTCTTTTCTTTTCTGTGTGTTGTTGTTTTGTACCAGGGGTTGGACTCAGGACCTTGCGCTTGCCAGGCAGGTGTGGTGCCAGTGACTACATCCCCAGCCCTTTATTCAGTGTTTTCTTCTGGTTACCTGACCGTGATAAAGGAGTGAATAATTCTGATGCTTTCAGTCAGCAAATTTCAGTTCACTTTTAGCGTTTCAAATCCAAAGAATAAAATTCACTCAGCTACTTTGCTCTTGTGTTGTTCAGGATGTACATTTTTGGTGGATGGGTTCCACATAAAGGTGAAAGCACTGAGACTTTGCCTCACGACTGTGAATGGAGGTGTACCAGTTCGTTCTCTTACCTAAACCTAGGTGAGTCCTCCATGTCTCCTAATGTTGTCAGAATGACGTTTGCTAATGAAAGAACTTTTATTCTGCTGTGAAGAACAATACATCAGTCACGGATATTTCTGTCTCTTTAGATACAGCAGAGTGGACCACTCTAGTATCAGATTCTCAGGATGACAAAAAAAATTCAAGACCAAGACCAAGAGCCGGACACTGCACTGTTGCAATTGGCACGCGGTTGTATTTTTGGAGCGGACGAGATGGCTATAAAAAAGCGCTGAATAGTCAAGTTTGCTGCAAGGATCTCTGGTATCTTGATACTGGTAGGTAACGGTATTTAACAAGTGATGTCTTCCGTGAGGTATTAAATATGCACATAGTGTGTCTTTTAAGACTTCACATCAATCGTACTGTCATTCCTGAGATGAAAGAAATAATTCTCATAGCTGCTCTGCTCGAGTGTGGACTGCCTTGGAGACATCCAGAGAAACTGCGTGAGGGGCGAGCAGTCGCCTTCAGGGCAGAGGCCCATTGAGCCCGGCTGTGTGAGCTCACTAGAGGTTCAGAGTACGCTTCAGAAGCTTCGAGGTGATGAAAATGAGGAGTCCCACGTGTGGGAGACAGGTGACTTAGTGCAGTGCAGGATCTGGGGTCGGCTCCTGGAAGAAAGAGACATCATCGGTTGACAAGCTGAGAAGATGTGACAGCAGGGATAGTTTTTCCCCCCTGAGGTAGTCTCACTCTGTAGCTTAGGCTGGCCTTGAGCTCACTGTGTAGCTCAAGCTGGTCTCAAACTTGTGGTAATCCTCCTGCCTCAGCCTCCCAAGTGCTGGGATCCTGGGCTTGTGCCATCATGCCCGGCAAGGATACATCTTCAAAGTAGATTCCCTAGGGATCTGTGACTTTGAAAGGTAAAAGCCATTGGGTCTGAGTGGCTGTCTTTTCCATGAAACTTCAGAAAAAGCTTTAAAGATACCCGTACTACCTAAAAATAATCATGGCTACTATCAGGCAAAAATTTAGATTTTCCTTTTCCTTTTGGCAAGTTTGGCATTGTTTTTCTGGGTGAGCGAGATCATCCTCGTGCCCTTTCTGACTTTTAGCTGAACTGTGCATTTAATAACGTTTAGATGAGTAATAGAATTCCGGAAGGCCTTAGGGAACACAGCAGCCCTTCGCGCGGCCTCCTCCCCTTCCCTCACTTTGTGCCTTCTCTCCACCCTGCCGAACGGTTCTCCCACTACCCGCTCCGTGTCTCTCAGCGTACCTGCTGCGTTGTTACTTAGAATTTTTTCAGTCTAAGTGTAGTACGCCCACTTCCTGCCATGGCAAGCAAGGGTCCTGGCCCTCCGCATCTGTCCTCCCATCACAACCCAGCTCTGGGAGATGAATGTGCAGCCTAGACCTTGCTGTCTTCTCACCAGCCGGGGAGCGGGTGGTTTCTGTGTCTTGGACCTGATCGTGTCCCGCTGGTCCGCTCTGTGCTGCCCTCCTGTGTGGAGCGCCGGGCTGCGCTCAGGTGCTTCTGCTGTGCATCAGATGCCACCGCCCTGAAGCGAGCTCCTGCCCCCCTGAGTGCTGAGCCTCCACAGTGGGAGCCCGGCTCTCATCCTGGGATTTCCGTCTGCTTCCTGGGGATTTGTTTTTACCTCAGTCCTCTGTCGGAGTCCTTGTGAGTTTCGGTCCCCTCTCCTTTATCGGTGGAACCCTGGGCCTCACGCGTACCAACAGTGCCCTCACCCGCCAGGTTGTCTCGTTCTTACTGTTCGTTTTTGTTTCTCAGATGAGTCTGACTGTTGCCCACACCAGCCTCAGACTCGTGTGCTTGGATGATCACCCTCCTGCTGTCTTTCATAGCACATACGCTGAAGTGATCATCCTGACTCGGCCTCCCGCACAGCCGAGACTACAGGCCTGCACAGCCATGCCCAGCTGGTCCTTTTTAATGTGCCTGTTTTCCTCCCCACCCTGGAAGCTTTGGGGATTTTTCTGTATCCCGTCCCCACTGGTTTTTAATTTCATGGTGTGCTGAATCCTCCGTGGGCCCATGCAGTCGAGAAATGCACGTGCTCCAGTCCTAGGGATTTTCTTTGTTTCACAGAGTGTGCGGCCTTTTGTTTTTTCTGTTCTTTCTTCTTGTGCCTTGTGCTCTGTAGTGGTGTGCTCTCTGGACCGGATGTCTGCTTCTGTTCCGCTACAGCTGGCCTTGCTTCGAGAACCCTCCTACAGCCCGTCGTCAGTAGGGCCGTGGAGGGATTCACGTGGGGATAGTCGAGGAAGCTAGGTTTGACTCTCCTCTAAGACAGCCGCACATCTCCCTGAGCTGCTCCACACGTGTGGGTTCTCTAGTGCACCTCCTCGGTGTTGTGTCCTGGAAGTAGCGGTGCGCAGAATCCATCCGGAGGAGAGCGTGCCTCAGCAGTCTGTGTTCACAGCCCAGAGGCGGCTGCTGGCTGAGGGCTCTGGTCGGTCTGCAGTAGACTGTGGCTCGCCAGAGGAGCCCGTCCTCTTAGAAGCTGCCGAAGACGGCACGTGCTGCCCTGGGAATCACTGGTCCCTGATGCGGGAAGGCTGGAAGGCCGGGTGGTGGGGCCATGGAGTCCGCGAAGTCATCTCCGGCCCTTCTCCCGAGGGCAGGCATCGGGATTCTTTGTTTTGTTTTAGAATGGTTAGTGATATTTTGTAACAAAGTCACATGTTTTGGGCAGTACCAGTCTTGATAAAAGTAGAGAAGTTGTATTTTTCTAAAATACCATGTCCAGGTCATCTTTGCCAACACGAATGATATTTAATATGTTGGCTCAAAATTAATTCATAAAATTAAAAAGATTGAACTACAAAAGAAGGTAAAATAATGTAATTATAATTATATAATACTTACTCCCCTGCAATTAAACCTTTTTTCTGAATCCAGTGATTCAGGTAGCTTCGTACTGGACTATTTCACGTGTAGATTTATTTAAGGAATTAAATAGAGTCAGATCCCCAGCCGCGTTTATCTGGGTAGACAGACGGAATCCTCTTTGTTGATGTCAAGACTCCAGCCTGCACAAGGTACACGAGCAAACCATCGGTACCTTGGAAAGGTAAATAGATACCCGCTGTCACTGTCGTTCTGTAGAGAAACCGCCAGCACCATCACAAGTGCAGCTGATCAAAGCCACCACCAGCTCTTTCCATGTGAAGTGGGATGAGGTGCCTACGGTCGAGGGCTACCTTTTGCAGCTGAATACGGACTTGCCATACCAGACTGCCTTGGCAGATTCCTCAGCGGCGCCGAGCGTGCCAGGTGAGACTGGGCCCGAGCAGAGAAGATGTGTCTTAGAAAGCACACTCTACCTGTCGGAGGCGTGGTGGCACACAGCTGTGATCCCAGCATTGGGGAGGCTGAGGCAGGAGGGTCATTGTGAATTTGAGGCCCAGCGAGATCCATCTTAAAAATCAAAAAGCGAAACAAAAGTATACTGCAGAAAAATGTGTGGTTAGTATTGGTTTAAGGAAATTAGGGCATGATGGTCCACACCCGAGAACTGGCTGTTCTACCGCTATGCCATAGACACTGACTCGCAGACTAGGGTAATTTGTTTTCTGCAGTTCATTTTGATGGACTTTCAAGTTTTATGTTACTTGCATTCAGATGTTTTTAATTAGCTTCAAAAAGATTTCACCTTTTTTCAAAAATATTTGTAACCAAAAGACATTTGGAGAGTAGAAAAGGAAATTTAATTTTATACGTTATTCAGAGTGGGTTTCAGTGAAGTATTAAGCCGACTATTAAGAAAAAAGATAAACTCTATAAAGATACTATCTTTAACCCTTCAGTATGTGACTGTAAAAGTCTTGATCGTATTTCCCTGAAGCCGATGGAGCTCACAGTCCTGTGAACTTTCTCACCCCACAGGAGGGAGGGCGGAGCCTCACAGACCGAGCGGCAACAGCGTCCTTCCCGACAGCGTGAGTGGGGACCCTGGCGGGGCGTCCTCACGTCTATCAGGGTTTCTAGCGCGTTTCTCGGGAACTGGGCTCCTACACCCTGCTGCTCCTCACAGTCCCCTCTGAGATGCCTGGCAGCTCTGTTTTTAAAGAAATCTTCGAGGCTGGGCCTGTGGCCATGTGGTAGAGCAGCTGCCTAGCGGGCATGAGGCCCTGGGTTTGATCCTCAGCACCACAGAAATACAGACAGAAAGAGCTTCCCAGGCCACTCTGGTAGTGGCCTGAATCGAGAGCTCCTGGCCTCATTCTGTGTAGGGTCAGAGGCTGCTGGCTTGGAATGTTATCATGTGTGGATATTATTTCCGAATGTCACACACATCTGCATTTCTAAAGATGTACGGTAAGTCCCCGACTTACGAACAGGCTCCATTCCGGAGGGTTCTCGTGAGTCAGATTTGTTTATAAGCCGACAGCCTTACACAGTACACCTGTGAGAGTTCGCAGCTGGAATGTCGTGAGTACCTCGTCTCCGCTGTGCATTTCAACAGTGCTAGTTGCTAAAGGGAGCCCCTGAATGTGAGTTGACCTCATATTCGTGAAGGGCTTCACAGTAAGTTTCCATGCACGCTGAAGGGGCTCGCGGAGATGCATACACTGCCGTGTGTCAGCAGGCTCCCCGGGAAGAGATGCAGGTGGATCCACTTCTGCTCACGGCTGAGGACCAGTAACAGGCAGAACGGGCTGCTGTAGGTCAGGAGAGGGGATGTAAGTAGGAGTCATGGGCTTATCTGTGAGTAAGCCCGTCACAGGAAGCACAATCCAGGGATGGCGAACCTTTTAGAGCCGCGTGCCCAAACTGCAAGCCGAAATGCGCTTATTCACCACCAAGTGCCAACTCCGCCCTGTGTGCTGTATTCCAGGGCTCGGCCGCTGGCGATGGCGGGTGTTCACAGGCTCGCTTTCTCATTGCTTACGTTTCTCCCTGCCTGTCATTAATCCACACGCAAGTCCACGCACAGGAGGTGTCTTTTCTTTCCTCTGCAGTCCCTGCCTTCTGGGGCCCTGTCTTCAAGCTTGAGTCTGCTCTGGTCCTGCACCTTCATTCTGGTTAATATCAGAAATTTCTTGTATTCTTTCCTGCCTTAGGGCCCATGTTTCTTGACTTTATTTCTCTCTGTTTCCTCTTGTTTTTCTTTTTTTTTATTCAGTACTTCTCCACTAGTCCTAAAGAAGGGGAACATTTTGAGATCTTGTATATCTGGAAACGTCTTTATTCACATTTTACTGATCATTTGGCTGGGTTATAGAATTCTGTATTGGGAAACTTTCCCCCAGAAATTTGAAAGCATTTCTTTCCTGTCCTTTACCATTCAGTGTCACTGTTTAGAGTCTGCTGCCACTTGGATTCCTAATCTTTTATATATGACCTTTTCATACCTAGTTTTCAGAAATATTGACAATGATATACTTTAGTGTTGCCTCTTCATTTGTTTTTACTATACACTCAGTAAACTCCATTTTTCTAGAAACTCACAGCTTTCTTACTGAATATTTCTTGCCTCTATTTGATCTTAGTATTTTTAAATTTTATTTGTTTGTTTGTTTTTTTGAGACAGGGTCTCACTATGTAGTTGAGACTGATCTGGAACTCATTATGTAGCCCAGGCTGGTCTTGAACTCACAGCGATCCTCCTGCCTCAGCCTCCTGAGTGCTGGGATTACAGGTGTGTGCCACCATGCCTGGCAGTTTTTTTTGTTTTGGGGTTTTTTTTTTTTTTTTTTTTTTTTAGAACTAAGGATTAAACCCAGTACAGTGCTACATTCCTAGTCCTTTTTAAAATTTTATTTTAGGACAGAGTCTCATTAAATTGCCACAGCTGGCCTTGGACTTCGCCTCTCTTACAGCTACCATTGCAGGCCCACCTTTGAACTCAGGTCCTCCTGGACTGGACCCTAAGTTTATGTTCTAGTTCTGTTTTCTCTTTCTGTCCATTCTACTTTCTGAAAAAAATTCTTCTTCCAACATATTTAAGTATATTCAACAACATTCTTTTATAGCATATTATTCTTGCTTCATAAATGTAATACCTTATCTCTTCAAAAACGAAGCTTTTCAGCCTGGCGTGGTGGCACACGCCTGTAATCCCAGCACTCGGGAGGCTAAGGCGGGAGGATCGCTGTAAATTCAAGACCAGCCTGGGCTACACAGTGAGTTCCAGGTCAGTCTCAACTACATAGTGAGACCCTGTTTCAAAAAACCGAAGCTTTTCCAAAAGTGTTTTATTCTGCTCTGAAGATTTCCCTTTTCACGCTCCTTTTATTTTTAACTTTGCACTGGTGGTAGAGGTCACCACCTGGTGCCTGGTGTGCTGTGCACGTGGGGCTCAGGTGTGTGGAAGCCCTGTGCTCTTGGGCCCGGCTGTGGCTCAGCAGCGCTCACTGGGGGCCATCGGAGCGGCTCACGGACAGTCTGGGGGCTCGGAACCCTGGCTGAGGGGTGCTGTACCATGGTCTAGAGCCTCACACCCCACTTCTCACCTCTCTGTCCCCTTCCGTTAAGAGCAGGGAGGGGAACCTGTCCGGCTTCGTGTCTTGCTCGGGCTGTGGGTGACACACGGTCCTGTGCAGCTGCCTGCACCCCTGCCTGGGATACGCGGCGCATCCCGGGGATGTCTGTCTGCCTACAGGTGCTGAGCGGCCAGCACTGTGCTTTTTTTCCAGTGTTGTCTCTTCTGCGCTCTTATTCCTTACAAGGATTATAGGAATTGGGCTTTTGGAGGAATTTGCTGAAATACATGTATTTATTCTATCAGATTTAACCCATATCTTAGGCTTCATTTCTTCCTTACGTAATTCTAGTTAAATCACCTGATTTTTAAACAAAGTGCACGAAGAGACATCACGATGCAGAGGTTATGGCAGAGGTGTTGTGGCTGTCGTCACCATCACCACCAGTGGAAGACAGTGCCAGGTCCTGTGACGAACAGCCTCAGAGCCAGGAAAAATTATGGGAGTCCAAAGGAAAGGTGGGGAAAAGTAACAAAAAACAAATAACCAGTTACCGCGTAAAAGTACAGATTTTCAGCTAGGCACTGTGGTACAGGCCAGTAGTCCCAGCTACTGGGGAGGCTGAGGCAGGAGAATCCTTTGAACCTAGGAATTCGAGGCCAGCCTGGTAGGGTGTAGAGAACCCCATCTCAAAAGCAAAACCAGAACGTGGAGGCTCAGTTAAAAGAGTTTTCTTAAAGACTACTATAAATCTTAAAGAATAATCCTGTACAAATTAATATAATTCTTAAATGTTCAATATTTTGATAAACATTTTTAAAGTGTTTACTTTTAGATTATTGTTCTTTGCATGTATTTCTGTTTCACTGAATGATGCTTGCTATAATAAACTGTCTTATTTCTTGTAGATCAGTGACACGGTAAACAGTGCAAAAACTGAACATACAGCCGTGAAAGGAATTTCAGTGAAAAACAGAGCAGATTTCAAAGCGACGGATTTGAATGCCATTTTACATTTGCCTTTGGCACCTAACGCTTCTAATCATAATAGTTGTGTGGCGGATATGCTAAGGAAAAATGAAGGTATCAGGAGATCATTTTAAATAAAACTAACCCTTCTCGTAACATTGGAGGGGAGGTTAGAGTCACTGAAGAAGTACACGTTGCATGGTTTTAATCCACTTCCCCAAGAATGAAATGGTTCCCGTAGTGGACCTACTTAGAGACTGGCGTCTGGCAGCACCAGGCCCCTGGCTGCGTGTAAGGCCACGCTCGGCGTGGAGTTTGAGGCTGCCAGTATGTGCAGGGCGCTGCCCATTGCTTACTTTATTTTCTTAAAACTTTAGCTGCACGAATGAGTCGTGTGGGGCGTGGATTTTGTCTCTTTTGTTCATGTCTTCCCCTGGCACTCAGGTCCGAGCGTGGTAAACAGTAGTCACTTAGTGAATATTTGTTTAGCAAGTGAATGGGTTCTCCTTGGAAAGAGTTCAGCTATGGGTACTGGTGACCCGTCCTTTGTGTTCTTAGACAGCTTATCATTTGGTGATGTCCGTGTTTGAATATTCTGATGCCACTTGAGCGATATCAAGCCTTGCCTCTGAGTTTGAAATCTGACATTATTTGGTACATCTCATCCTGATAGATCCCTGACATAAAAACATGTGACTTTTTTTTTGGAACCAAGAATCAAACTAGGGACCTTGTGCTTGCGAGGCAGGCGACAGCACCACTGTGCTAAATCCCCAGCTCCATGTGACTTTATTTTTAATTTGAAAACCATTGTATCTGATATAAAGCTAATTCTTCAATGATTCAAATTTAACAAGATGAATTTTTTATTTGTTTTTCTTTGAATCCATGGTAGATGAAAATTTTCATGGAAGATAATTTCCCTCATGTATTACCTGTGGGAGAGGAGACCTCTTTTTTTTTTTTTAAATAGACTTTCTAGATATAAAGAAATTATTAGTCATATTTATAAAATCTTGGTTCTGGACTTCAATTTAAATTTTCTTACACTGCTTTTCTGTGTCTCAAAGAAGTTTGTACTCTGAAAATAGATCAGAGCTTTGAGATTTCAGAATCTTAACGCCCTCTCCACCCTAACTGCTAAGGCAGTTGGAATAAGCTCCCGGTGCCAGGGGTACGGGAAGCCAGAGGGTGCTCAGTGGCTTCTGGCACATGGTAGAGGCTCGGCTTCCTCACTCAGGCCAACACAAGTGACTTCTCAGCAAGGTGCAGTAACTGCCACAGAATGTTTCGAAGATTGGAGTAAACTGATTATGTTTGCAAAAGAGCTCTCCAGCCTCCCCTTCGGGAAGAGACGGAGTATGCGGTGGGTGAGACAGTTGTTAGGGGCTCTTGTAGGCTTCTGGAGGTGCGTAGGGACTAGAGCAGGGGATCAGATGGAGGAAAAGAAAACACATCATTGAGGAGACTTTGAGCTGCGTTCACAGAACCTGGCAGCTGGTTGCATAGGAGAAACGAAAGCGAATTGACCATGACTCCCAGGTTTTCCGGTTGAACAGAATGAATAATGATCCTCTTCGTGGAGAGAGGAAGTACAGGAGCGAAGCCCGTTTGGAAAAGGTCCCTCTTTGAAGTGACTTTCTTCGAGGCATACGAGGGACTACTGGGGGAGGTCACAAACTGGCAGCTGTGTATTAGTCCGGGGCCCAGGGGCGGTCCTCAGTCCAAACTCAGCGCTTAGCACTTCCCAAGGGTGCCTTCTGCAGGAGCAGGCGCCGCCCGCCTTGTTTATGCAGTGCGTTTGCGGGATGCGGGATGCAGGAATGATATTTCAAGCACAGCTGAGGGAAAGGCAGCTTAGGAACGCCGGAATAAAAGCATTATTTGAAGAAGAGAAACTGCAGAGGTGGAGAGGGTCCCTTAGGGTTAGGAAAAGACAAACGCTGGTGATTCTTCCTGGGCAGTGGCAGTCCCAGCTGGAGGCTGTGTGTGGGTTTCTCTCTCCACCACGCGGAGCTCCTGCCTTCCTGCACCACCGTGGGAACAAGCAGTGTCCGGTAGGAGGTCTTCAGGGTGTGGATGCGTGAGTGTAAAATCACGGGAAACAGCTTAGCAGAAGAGACGTGGTCAGCATCGTTAGCATTACAGAAAGGCCAGGTGAGAGCGACCTGGAGAAATCACCAGTGTTCTCCAGGGCCGCTTTGTTAGCGTCCTGTGTGTGAGCAATGAACCTGTAGGGAGGTCAGGGACATAGAAATTGCTCTGCAGGGAATTGGGGAGCCGTGGTAACTGGAGGGGACTGGTGGGTCCGGGAAGATGTGGAATTGTTTGCTTGAGAAACTCGCCGATATTCAGGATCGGAGAACCAACCATCTGGAAGCCCTGAAAAGGCAGGAATATTTGAATGCAGGTCTCAGAATAGGTAAGGAATGAGCCCACGAGCTCAGCAAGGCAGGTGGATCTTCGTCTGAGGGGTCAGCTCATCTGAAACGGAAGAAGACAGGATGAGCGTGGTGGTGAGCACACTTCAGGCTGGGCAGGAGAAGGTTCAGCTCGGAGGAGGAGGAGCTGAGAAGCTGGGTGTCGCAGTGCACATAATGCGCTTTCCTCTGAGCGCTGTGGCCAGTGATGTGCTCATGTTTATGATTCTAGAACTGCAAGTGCCAAGACATACATGACAGGAACAGTAAGACACTGAATATCTCCAGGTATCACGCTAACATCCGACCGTTTCCCCTGTAACATAGGTCCTCACACTTCAGCACATGCAGGTGTGCTCAGTGGCTGCCTGGACTTAAGAACGGTAATACCAGAAATGTCTGCAGCCAGTACTGTTTCCAGCGCGCAGCCGATGGTGACCCAGCAGCCCATAAAAACCGAGTCATGCAGTACAAACGGGGCGGTTGTTAAAGACGAGACTTCACCCGCGGCCCTCAGCACCAAAACCGAAGGTTTGGATTGTCTTGCGTACCGTGTCACACCGTCTGTGCGTGTCAGCTCAGCAGGTGCACTGTCTCGGGGGACTGCATTTCGTTCTGGATTCAGTCGCATGCAAGCAGGGAAAACGTGTCAGTCAAAATCAGTAAACACAGTCTGTGCTGTTCCGTAAAAACTTAGAGTAGTGCACGCAGAGGTACACTTGGACTGTATCTTCCCTACTGAGAATAAATTCAGCATCTTTCCTTAGGATAAAACCAGTGCTAGGGCCGGGGATTTAGCTCAGTGGTTCCACCGCCGGTCTCGCAAGCACAAGGTCCCGAGCTCAATCCCTGTACCCAAAAAAAAAAAAAAAAGTGATAGACTGTGGATTAACGATTCTCAGCCTGATTGAGTTCTAATTGTTAAATATTTACTGTTTCCCAATAAGAATTGTGTCTGCTCTTTGGTAAACATTTTCTGGAGTTTTAGCTAGTCATTAGCCCCTTATGAAAATGAACTTCATGAATTGAGTAAATTTCTCACTACTGTGTTCCTCCCTCCAGCTGTTTTTCCCAATTTTTTTATTGTGGTAAAATATACATAGATGAAATTTACCATCTTTACCATTTTTCAGTGTACACTTCAGTGGTGTTCAGTATATTTATAAATCATATTTTAATATACAGCAACTGAGTGTAAGCCTAAGTGAGCCAACTGTTTAATTGTAGTGGATGAAACGTGTGCTCTTCCTGCCACCAAGATCAGCCGTGTGGAGATGCACGCTGCCGCGGGGCCGCTCTCTGTAAGTACACGACCCGGCGGGGTGCATGTCTAGACCTACTGTGTGCTGGAGATGCCGAGCAGCCTCTCGGTCGGGCCCTGAGGAAGTCCTGCTCGTTTAGTAGTGAATTTAGTAGGGAATTTTTACAGCGTAAAGAGTGAAGATGAGTTTAAAGCTATTCCTTTAATAATACAAATTTAGAAGTAAACGGTTGGGGGAGAGATAGTCACAATAGAACGTGTAGTGGGAAAAGCTTGATAGAATAATTCATATGCTGTGCTCCCGATTTTGATAAAATGCTCACACTGCAGACGCGGCCATAACTGTGCCCACGCACGCCCAGGGCTTGCCGAGTTGAGGGACCGCGGATGATTTTGGCTTCACTCTGTTTTCCCATCGTGAGATGCATTGTTTCTAACCGGAAATGCGTGTGCGTGCCTGTGTGTGGGCGACGTTACTGTCAAAGACAGGACACAGGAGGGAGCAGAACTCGGATGGCGCTCGGGCCGCGTAGGGGCTGCACAGAGGAGTTGGGTCCACGGCCCAGTGGTCTGTGGCATCGCGTGGTCTGCGAGGGCCGGCAGGGCGCTCTGCGTGGCAGCCACTTCAGGAGTTAGGGAGGTGTCTCCAGACACCCCAGACGGTCTCGACTTGGGAAGTAGGCTAAGAGGCATGCGTGCGTGCGTGCGTGCGTGCGTGCGTGCGTGTCATTTCTCACTTCTGCTATGAGCCAGTTTTCATTTTACCTGGATGTTTGTCTTTTAGAATCGTGAAGTATTGTTTGTATTAGTTTCCTTCCAAGTTTTTGGATTTGGACCACGCATTACCCCTCCCCACGCTCACCTTTCGGGACTGTAGCCCTCCTGAGCCTGCTCGGGGGAGGAGGATTAAGATGGGCTTTTTCTTTGAATGTGCTTTGCAGTGCCTCAACTAGGATTGTATTTGCTGTTTTAGTTGGAGCCAGTTTTATAAAAGTTGAGGGGAATTTTTACAACTCGAAAAGTGAAGACAAGTTTAAAGCTATTCCTTTTTCTTAAGACTTTTCTCATGAGTTCACTTTGTCATGTGTGATAGCCTGAAAAAAATGTGAATGATATAAGCATGTACCTTTGCTGTTATATATTTAAGACAGAAATAAATAACTGAAGTGCACATTTGTTTTGAGCTTCTGGAAACAGTGTCTCATTTATAAGAAGATGGCTTAAAAAGGTTAGTTCCAGGGATAAGTATAATTCACCTATCACTAAAGTAGCTTAAGGTAGAGGAAATTTATTTGTTTTTAAAAGCAGGGTAAAAATGTATAACTGTTTAATGGATTCCTCTTTAGTATATACTAAAGTGTATTCAAATTGCATTTTAGTTTTGAACATTTTTTTTCTCCTTTTAGGTTTGGAGAATCTCAGGTATTTCAAATGCAAAGGTCACTGAATTTGTGCTAGTTGTTTTTTGATTGAGACAAAAGCCAGCTTGACTGAATTTTTCTTTATGTGCTCCTTTCGGAACAAGCTGTAATGTTTCCCAGAAGGGACTGCATTTTCCGAGAGTCCGAGCGACAGTGGCCTGTTGCAGCTGGCATGTGACATGTCGCTGGCTGGAAAGCAGCTGACGCCAGCCGGGCTGTCCGTACTGGGGACAGAGCCTGGCACCCCGCACCCTGGGTCTCACTGGTTCCCCGGCCCTGTCACTTGACCTAAAGTGTGAAGACCCGATGCACCGGTGCACAGTCCGTGTTGCAATGTCCCCGGGTACCTGCTCGTAGGTCACTGCATGGGTTATGAGAGCTTCAGACCTCTGAAACACTGCGAAGGAGTCTGCATAACTTCTTCTCGCTCTAAAACTAGAAAGAGACGCCTTCAAATCCAGGGGCCGCAGTGAAGGCGGGAGAGCGACAGTGGTGTGATGTGGGGATTTTTAGAAACAACACCGCGCTGGTGAGCCAGTTTTACTTGCTGCCGAAAGGGAAGCAGAGCGCCTCGAAGGTAAGGGGGTGCTTTCTGCACCTCTGCCCCTGTGGGTTATGGCTTGGGTGAGATTGTTCCTGTGACCTGGGGATCTGACTGCAGTCTGTGATTGAGAGTTCTGTATGCTTCGCTGTCTTGTATTGTTGTTGTTGTTATTATTATTATTATTTTTTTTTTTTTTTGGTACCGGGGATCGAACTCAGGCCCTTGCACTTGCAAGGCAGGCATTGGAACCACTGAGCTAAATCCCCAGCCCTGTTGTTATTGTTGTTATTATTATTATTTTTTGGGTTCCGGAAATCAAACTCAGGACTTTGTACTTGCCAGGCAGGCGTGGTGCTCCTGAGCTAGAACCCTGGCGCTATCTTGTATTGTTTATTAAGTATTAAGGTTCTTTTTATAGAATACAGTATATCACAGGTATGTCATTTAAAAAATCTTATACAATCAGTGAGCTGGGTTTCATGTCATAAAAATAGAATCTGACCACTAAAATAAGCATTTTTATGGAAATGTCTCCAATTTTGTTTTGTGTTTAGAGAATTGGTTTCTTACTGTTTTTATTCCTGGTTTTACAATTTTAAAAATTTAAAAGCCTCTGTATGCTATTAATTTCCCCTTGATTCTGAAGCCCCTTCCGGAGACACTGCGTGGGATATACAGCCTCTAAGAATTATGGAATAGGTAATGACTCCAAAGTAGGCTGAACTAAGGCTTTTCTTATGTGGCGATGTCCAAAAGGGAATTCTAAGGAGATGGCTACTTGTTTTGATTTTCTCGATCTTCGCAAATGGAGAAGATGAGATGTGCTTCTCAAACCCAAACAATCCAAAGTCCAAGGTGCTCCAGAAATGAAAGACTTTATAATGTGAGTGTGATGCCACAGGAGGAGACAGATAGGTGAGCTCAGGTGACAAGTCCCGGGCAGAAGGCAGGGCACTGCGCACCGGTAACCCCAGCTCTCTGGGAGGCCGAGGCAGGAGGCTCAGAAGTTTGAGCCCAGTCTGGGCAACTTGGTGACTTGGTGAGACCCTGTCTGAAAATATAAAAGCAGGCGGAGGCTGTAGCTCGGTGTGAAGGCCTGGGCTCAGTCTCCAGCACCTCTCTACACAGTCTGAAATCACCTTCTGGCTGGTGTGTAAGGTGTACATGAAGCAAATGGAGTTTGTATTCAGACTTGAGTCCCATCCCAGGAGACCTCATTATGTTATGCAAGTATTCCACAATCTGACAAAAATCGGAAATCCGAAACATTTCTTGTCCCAAGCATTTTGGTTAAGGGTACCCACCGTATATCATGTATTTTCATTTATCTGCTATTACAGCTGGTGTCCCTCTTTTTCAGATTGATTTTTTCCAATTCTTGGCAAAATAGAAATTCTAGTTATTATTCGTTAGAATCACACCTGATAAGGACATAACGCATATCCAGGTACCTATTAGCCACCTGATTTTCCTAAAAGGAAAACAGTGTACCGTGCCGAGCCAGGAGATGTAGGTTTGAATCACTGGTCCCAGCATACGGCAGCTGAACTGGAACGGGTCACGTGTATGACCTCTCTGAGGCTCAGTTTCCTCATCCGGAGAATGAGGTGACGTAGCTCCCACAAAGCAAGAGGACGTTTGCACTTCCTGTTGCAGGGCTCTGGGGAGAGCTGCGGAGAGTCTAAAACTGTCTGCGGGCTGTGAGCCTGGGATCGTCCTCTGGGACATTTATTCAGCGTCCTGGGCGGGTACCTCACAAGCGTCTGTGGACACGCTGGTGCCCTTCTCCACCTGGCCCGCTTGCCTGTCTCTGAAGGGCGTTGTCCTGTTACCTGACCTCAGTCCGAGGTTTCTGCTCCAAGCCAAGTTCCGGTGGGAAAGGGACAGTTGTTACTGGGATAATTGTTTTTTGCCTTTGTACCGCTCACATGCAGAATACCTCGGCATTTCTCTTCAGAGCCAGTGATTCTCAGCTGGAGAAGGCCCTTTTCCTTTGGTCAGAATCACTGATTTATGGATTTAACCACTTCTGTATTGGAAGATTTATTTGTTGTGCGTGAGGCAGAAATAAATAAATGTGAGCTAGAACTTTGAAATGTAATTCATTCTTTTAAAGTTTTGTGGAATGAAAATTAAATCATTTTAAACATGAAATCATGAATCACCTGTGCCCCTTAATCACCTCCTGTATATATTACATTGTAGGTGGGAAACGCAGATGTTCCTGACTACAGTTTACTTAAGAAACAAGATCTTGTTCCAGGCACTGGCTACCGATTCCGGGTGGCTGCCATCAATGGCTGTGGAATCAGCCCTTTCAGCAAAGTCAGTGAGTTTAAAACGTGCATTCCTGGCTTTCCTGGCGCTCCTTCTGCAGTCCGAATTTCAAAGGTGAGAGGTCAGGCCCGGACTTGGTGATTGACGTCGTTTCCGACTTCCTCCGTGAAGCCGACTGCGGTTAGAAAGTCTGGTTAGCGTCTGGTAAAGTCAGGTTCCCTAAAAGGTGGATTAAGTATTTTTTGCTAATTGATATTTTTACTTACTAAACTTCAGGCAGAATTACAGCATTCAAATCACAGAAGGGCAGGGAAGTCTTCTGGCTTTGTTCTCGTTATATGAACCAGAAGTTCATGCTGGAGAATTTCAATAGAATACATGAGATTGGATTACATTTTATAGTAAGTCCTGCCCTTCCTCAGGGAAGAAAAGGCCTGAGTTTAATAAAGAAAAATTCCCCTTCTGGGATGTTACAGGCCAACACTTCAGCCTGTGTTTGTGGAAAATGGGCGTGTGCTGGGCGTGGTGAAGCACACCTATAATCCCAGCACTCAGGAGGCTGAGGCAGGATGATCACAAGAGGCCAGCCTGGACTACCTAGCAAGACCCTGTTGCAAAAGATAAAGAAAGGTGGGCATGAGCTAAGCATTGCAGACCCGCCTACAGTAGACCGACAGTACAGCCGACATCTAAGGCCGTTACTGTAAGAGAGGGAGGCACTGTGCGTCCCGAGGGCGGAGGTAACACTGGTGCTCACCTGTCGCCCTTTCCAGAACGTGGAAGGCATCCACCTCTCCTGGGAACCGCCGACCTCCCCTTCGGGGAACATCCTGGAGTACTCCGCCTACCTGGCCATCCGCACGGCGCAGATACAGGACAACCCCAGCCAGCTGGTGTTCATGCGGGTCTACTGCGGCCTCCGGACTTCATGCACGGTGACCACTGGGCAGCTGGCCAACGCGCACATGGACTACACATCCAGGCCCGCCATCGTGTTCCGCATCTCGGCCAAGAACGAGAAGGGGTACGGACCCGCCACGCAGGTGCGATGGCTCCAAAGCAACAATAAGAAAGCGCCTGTGAGCTGAATTGTTTTACCGAAGCTGCGGGGATGCACTTATTTATTAGCAACTGGCGACGGAGAGCGGCCGTCTGGAAAAATACTCTCCGACTGTATTCCAGCAGTTATGAATTTGAGTTTGTAAGTTGTCCTTAAAATGTATTTGCTCCATTGTAGATCCAAATAAAAATAGAAAAGAAGCAAAGACTCGGAACATTAGTACATGGGTTCTTCCTTATGTGTACAGCTCTTTCAGAGAAAAACAGCAAAACCGACAGGGTGCTAGGAGCGTTCGTCCCGCTCTGTAACTGTCTGCCCAGAGTCGCCGAGATCCCCCGGGGCTGCCCCTCCCTGCCAGGACAGGTGTCCTCCGCCCTGGGACCCCAAGTCCAGGCCCCGCCTGCGGTTCCCACTGCTCCTGTGCTTGGCTGGCGCCTGTGCGACTGATTCTGGTGGACTTCATTCCTTTCTTGGTTTCCATTTAGCACAGAGGTAAAATTAACCAAGACAGAGATCAAGGCGAGCTTAGAGACTCTGCTTTTGAATTTTTATTCTTTTTCAAGAATATTGGTAAGATCAAAAAGAATAACGAGTATTTTCGATTCATACCAAGCCAGTCTAAAGCACACCAGTTATCTGGCCCTTGCTCTCCTTACCAGGTGAGGGTTGGGAGAGTTTACCTTTACGGTCTTTTTCAGCCCGAGAATTTTGTATTTTCACCAGAAGCATACTGTATCCCTGAATATTTTCCTGTGCTCAATGGCTCTAACTTCTTCTTTTGCTGAAATTAAAACCTGCACAATTTAAAAATTCAGAATTAAAATATATGTCCTCTTATTGTGCAAAGAAAGAAGCACCTTAATAAGACATAAGTTTGGAATAGTGTTTTAAACATTTGTAAGATTTTGTAAATGCTCTAGATGTTTTATTTTTGCATTATTTTTACCTCAGAAATGTATAAACTTTTTTACAAAAGAATTGTAAGCATTAGACAGCTAACTCAGGTTCCTTCCAACCTTAAAAATGCAGATAAGAGTTAACCCTGCTCCAGGTATCTTGTTCTAGACTTTTAGGCGCTTCTCAGTTCCGCTGCCTGTTCAAACCTGGGAGAAGCGTGGTCAGAGCAGTAACTGCAGGAGGGACTGAGCCCCAGCCGCGTAAGCACTGGGCACAGGTCTGTCTACGCACCGCGGAACCCTCGCCAGGGTGGGTTGGCTGAGTGGCTGTGTTGCCAGACTATGTGTAACGTCCCCAGCAAAGGTGAAATTCATTGTGCAGAACTGGTATATATGCATGCTTCAGTTACTAATTTAAAGTGTATAGAATATTTTAATATATAACTTTTGTAAAGAACTGGGATTTTTATATTACAGTATTTGTAATTAATGTGTCTCACTAATTTTCTCTTGAAGAAAATATGCAAACTGTTAGACACACACTGAGTCGTTTCCAAACTCTAAAGATAAAATAAACGCACTGCTCTGGTGGTGTTAGAAAACCTTTCTCTGTGGCTGTATGAATCTTTGGTCTTTAAATGTCTGCGTCACCAACCACGTTCACCAGAAGCGTCTCTGGCCTGTTGGCCCCGTTCCTCCCAGACGAAAGCGGTGCGCTGTGTTTCCGTGGCTGAATTTGTTGGCTGAATCGCTCCGCTTTCTGCATGTGCTTAGGATTTTAACGGCCTCGTTATCATGTTTGTAATCACTGCACAGCTGTCACAGTGTGTCTGATACTGGCTACGCAAATACTTAACCGAAGCAAAAATAAATGGCGAGCAGCTTTGCACAAGTTAAACGGTAGGGTTTCCTTGGTACGTGCGTGTGTGTGATTAGTTGTCAAAAGAGTAAGAATGGAAAGTTAGAGAAAGTGTTTCGAGCCCAGTGATTTTAATGGTCTGTTTGCTTTAATAGAAAACTTCTGGGTTTTAACTCCTTATTCTCTACATTAATTAACAGTCTACATTTTAAAACACTTCTCTTATGACAAAGAGTAAGTTGACTTAAGGCAAAGAGAAGAATACTTGTTTATGTGTGCACTTCTATACCTGTGTAGGGTTTGATGTACTGCACTTTCCCGAGATGCCTGGACCCGAAGGTGAACGGGAATCCGTGTGTATAACAAAGCACTTACTTCTTAGAGGGGAGGGCAGCCTGTCATCATGTGTTAGCTGTTTACTTGGGAGTCAGCCTGAATTCTGTATTTTAAAAAATTTGGCACTGGTTTGTATGCATAGACATGTTCATCTCTAAGGGACTGCTGACCGGAAGACGCCAGGAGAAATCTCAGGCTTTGCCGCTCAGTAAGGGGCGGTCTTAGAGCTGCGTGTGCAGGACTAGAATTCACCGGGTAAATCCGAGGGGCAGCGCTTAGTTTCTGTGACTTACACACTTACCGCACAAGGCAGCTCCCTGCCTGTAACAGTGGGCTGCGCCATGCAGACAGCTCCCTCCCTCCCTCCCTTCCTGCCCCTCTGCCACACGGAGAGCAAACCTGGACCCCTGCGGGAGGGAGAGATTAATAACTCTTACTCTTCCCCAGTTAACAACATTCACTGCCACCCAGTGATCACGGCTCACAATCTGGGCGGGTTTGCAGTGCGCCAGGTCCTCAGCGAGCTCTCACGCTGACACTGCCAGCCCTCAGAGCTACATTGTTGTCTTCAAAGGACAGGAGGAACGCAGCGATCTGCAGGTGAAGCCTGTTTCCCGGCCTCGCTCAGCAGGTGGTTGGCAGCCCCAGGACTTGAAACCAAGTACCCTACTCCCCTCCACTCAAATTACCGGAGCCTGGCCCCAGAATAAACAAACCTTGGCTTTTCACGGTGCCCTTTTGCTCCAAACGTTGTGGGCCTCAGATGCACTACTGGAGATGTCTCTGCCTCTCCCTCAGGTTGAGGGCCCCACTCACCCGGCTCAGGTGTTGAGATGTAATCCCAATGCAGCAGCGCTGACACAGGCGAGGTCTTTCAGAGGCGAAGAGGCGTGGGGGGCCGGGCCCTGCCGGAGGGGTGGGTATCTGGGGAGCGGACTCGGCATAAAAGTGACTTGGCCTCCCCCCCTCCCCCTAAGGCGGCACAGCCAGGAGGCCCTGCACACGGGACCAGGTCTCCCTGGGGTTTGGGCATCCTGGCCTCCAGAACCATGGGCCAGTGCGTTTCTGTTTATTATAAATTACCCAGCCAGAGTGGTGCAAAACAGACCTAGACAGCTGCCCTGGAAGAAAGCACCCCGAGAAGTCATGAGGAGACGAGCTCGAGGAGCGAGCACCCCTGTGTTCCCCACTACCCCCAGCCCCGGCTGACGCGCTGTAGATGTTCAGTCCAATAAACCCGAAGAAGCTGAGTGTGGCGGGGCTCGAGGCAGCTCGTGGGAGGCTGAGGCAGGAACTGAACTGGGACAGCCAGGGTTGCATAGTGAGATCCTGGCTCAAAAGAGAAAAACAAAAAGACCCAGTGAATTATTTTCTAGCCGAAATCCATGAATACCCCCTGAGCACTTACTCTGCTTTACAGAATAATACTGTCACCTTTTGACGCACAGGTTTTCTCTGCAAGTGTTAATATAAATATTGACATAAAAAAAATTTGAGATTGAGATCCTAGTACGTGTTTTTGTAGTTTGCTTTATTCTCAGTATCTTCCCACGTTATTAAAAATTCTTTAGGGGCCTGGGGGTGTGGCTCAGTGGTACAGCCTGTGGCTATCATCTACACGGAGCTGGGTTCAGTTCGCAGCACCTATAAATAAACAAATAAATAAAAATTTAATTTATTTAAAAACATATTAATCCCAGCACTCGGGAGGCTGAGGCAGGAGGATCGCTGTGAGTTCAAGACCAGCCGGGACTACATAGTGAGTTCCAGATCAGTCTCAACTACATAGTGAGACTCTGTCTCAAACAATAACAACAACAACAACAACAAAAAACCCAAAAGATTTATTGGTCGTTTAAATTCCTGCAGTCATCTGATCATCAGTGAAGCACACTGCGAAATAGACTCGGTCTCCGAACACGTTCGGTGTCACCACCGTGTTTTCTGAGACTGCTTTTAGGCAGTTTATGTGTCGTGTACCAAAGCGCCTTTCCCCCATAACGATCCCAGGACTTACTTGTTTTGCCACGGGCTCTGAGCGAGGCGCTCCCTCCAGGAGGGCACAGCCCGCCTGAGGGTCGCGGAGCTGGAGG